ATGTTCCTGGGCAGCCCAGAGGTTTTTCACCTGTTTCACAGATTGGCCAGTCTATGTAAAAAAGGATATGATGAAGGGAATGTGGTCCAGCATGAAGCTAGAAACAAATCAGTTTAACACATATTTCACTAGGCCAAACGCAGTTCACCTTGAAATAAATACTAAGAACTGCTACAATCATTGTTTTAAACAGGACTGCTGTCTTTTCTTTCATTTTTGCCTTTTTAGCACCAAGTGAATTCCCATCACCAAGGGGTGGGTGAAAGAGGCTTCCTGGTTGCTGGTTTTCTAGCTATTTTCATTCTGGTTATTTTCATTTGCCAGATCTTATTCCTTAAAGCTATATAAACTTTCTTAAAAAATTAAAGTTAGGTATCCCAGTTACATTTTTTAAAGAGGTTTAGGACAGTGATTCTCTATGACTAGATTTAACTCTTTCGTAATGGTTGCAAAACAGGGTAAGTAAAGAAAAGAAAAATCGTACTGTTGAGAGTTGATTCATAAAGCAAAGTTTTTAAAAAAGCCATGAAAAGTTGGCACAGCCCTAAGTGAAGGAGGTGCTCTTGGAATGAAGATGGTGTCGTCACAAACAATCCCACTCCTGCCCCCAACAAGAAAAGGAACGCTGCAGCCACTATACTCATGTTCTCCCAGTTTTTGTGCCCTGATTATAAACATGGCTTGTTCTGTAGCACTCGTGAGATTGCAGGCAAGAGGAATCAAGATGCACAGAAGCTGTGATTTCTAACTCTGGGAGCCACGTGGACGAGCAGAACCTTCTGCCAACAGGGCTACAGGGAGAGGAAGGGCCACCAGCACCAGGCGAGGGGGAATGTCGTGCCTGAGCGGCGGGTCCAGGCAAACATGATAAGCCATGGGTCATAATCCATGACATTCATCAAGCTCTACCTCCAAGGTGAGGACACAGTTTAAAACTACAAGACATGGTGAAACAGATCCCAACGCTGCAGCACAGCTTCCACCTCTGACATTACAGAAAGGGAGGGAGGGCATAGGAGAGACATGCCAGAGTTCAAACAATTGTCAGTCAATCAAAGAACTTTTGACAGCAACTTCATGGCTGATCTAAAAACCCTTCCTTTTACTCTCCCCTCTAATAGCTCCTCTCTGGGCAAGCTTATGGCACTTGTTGGAAAGAATGGTCCTGATGGCCCAAAGTGTAGCAGAAGCAACGGTGACTTTCCAGGCAGACCTGTCGTATTCAGGCTATCGGCTCCACCCTCCTGCCTTACAACAAAACGTCCTTGCATTTATTTTCACCATGGGAAGGCTGAGCAAAGCTCTGAACAGGAGGAGCTCTACTGCACCAAACAGCAACAGATGACCCAGTCTATGAAACTGATTGATGCCAGATGCTCCATGCCAGGCTCATGGGCATTTTAACAGGGAACTTTTTAGTTTAGTCTTGAGAAAGAAGATGAAGCTACATTGAGCTGGAAAAGATAAGAAAAGTAGTCTGCTGGATAAAAATGCTTTCCAACTGTACTCAGTGGAGTTTATTACTGAGAAGCAAAAGCTGAGAGAAAGCAGGATAAAGGTTAAGTGAAGATTAGCTGGTGGCCGAGTGCCACAGGCTCCAACTCCAGCAGAGTCTACAAAGATCCTCCATCCAGGAGAAGAGAGGAGGGGGCCAGGGACAGCCAGTGACTCTTAGTGCAACAAGAACCATTTAATTATAATCAATCTAGAACCACAAAGGTTGTAAAAGTAAATTTAAGCTCCTTAAAAGTTTATTACTCAAAATAGTCCATGTGGAGATGTTTCCACCTTCCCTGATCTTGTTCACCTCTTCTTTACTCTCATATAGAGATCAGTGTTTGACATCCCTCCCTAATGCAACTAAATCCTCCCTTACTGCCTATCCAGGGAAAGAGGTGTGTATACATGTAAACACTACCAGAGACTTGCTAAGAGGTGGTATCTCGCTAGCACCCAGTGAAACCACAAAACTCAGCAGGGCACTCCCCAGCTTTGCCAGCAGGCTCAGCTCATGTCTCAAGGATGAAGACACCAAATTGAGCCTCCATGATCCAGGGACTACAGGAAACAAGGGTGCACACATTGGGTCAGTGTATCCAACTGAGTGCAATGAAACAAAACATTTCGAATGGAAAATTTCAAAACCACAAGCCAGAAAATGTCTGATGGCTTTGTTGTGAGAGGCATCTTTTTTTTTCCCCATTTTTAAATTTCTCCCTTCACATGCAAACTGCACCAATAGACCCTGACAGCACTAGCTTCAATTTCAAAACCACAAGCCAGAAAATGTCTGATGGCTTTGTTGTGAGAGGCATCTTTTTTTTTTCCCATTTTTAAATTTCTCCCTTCACATGCAAACTGCACCAATAGACCCTGACAGCACTAGCTTCAGACTTGATACATCATCAGGAAATCATTCCAAAAGCTCTAACTAGATAACTAATTTAATACACTTTGCTTCAAGGTTTATTCCTTGGCATGCTTCCCAGATATAAAGCATCTCTGGGTAATTATTATGCAGATGCCACTGAAAGGACTTTCGATGGCTGCTGCTAATTTAACAGGAGATGTGTTGGCATTTGCTGGAGATGTGAAAAGGAATGCAAAATGTGCTAAAGAACCAAAAGCATTTGCTTTCAAAAATGAAACGTGTGGAATAGCTTTTAAATGTTTTCCTTTGGGTTTCAATATACACTTTGGCTAGGAAGTTGAGTATTAACTTCCTCCTGCATTTTGGGCATTAACAAATATTCCCATGGAATGCAGTGGGAACAGTGGATGGGTTTAAAGGAAGCCCACGAGTAATGATCTCAAAGAGACTCCAGATCGACATGCTGCCCACAGGACACATTTTAACAGTACTCACTCCGGGGCTTAGAGATGAAAGATAAATATTGATGCTGTTCATCATACAATAAACCACTCACTGAGATCAACTGTTTAAACATCCCTAATAGTAGAAAATCCCAAGGATAAAAAACCTCTAAGGAAAGGAAACAAATACCTTTTTGACTATTGATGAACTTAGTAAGAGTTATGAGCTCTGTTCCATTGAAAATAAATACATGTGACACTAATGGTTTTCCTTCTTTTTTTTGACGACTAGCAGTTATGGGGATCTGAACCCATGACTGGTGTTATAAGGTGGTGCTCTATCCAATTGATGGTTTTCTTTTCAGATCACACACCAAAATTCTGGAACCTACAAAGCTCAGTTGAAATTATACTTTTTAACTGATTCTTCAGACCTTGGAGAAGACAGAGCCCTCCATTACCAGATATTCTGAGTCTAAATACAGAGTACAACCACTGCAACACCTGGCCAGATGTGAAACTGGGCTGATTCAGCATCCAAAGGAGTTAATGAGGAATCTGCTTTCACATGCATCTGTTGGTGCGTGGTGACAGGAGGGCACAGAGGCATGTTCCTCGACCATGCTTTGTCTTCTCAGCTCAGGGAAAAAGGGTGGCAACGGTGGAAGGAACACAGAACACCTGCAGTGGTCAATTCTAAGAACACAACTGTAACTAAAAATTATATTCAAGAAACACTAGACACAGAAAGGAAAACTTAAATGTGGTTTTGTTCTTAGAATTTCAAGAGTTCCATATTCAGTTCTCCACCACTACCTTTTTCTCCCGAGCTGAAAGCACAAAGAAAACATGGCATCAAGTCTACCAGAAGGAACGTGCTCCTGTGACCTCCTGTCACCATGCACCCACAGATGCGCATGAACATTGTATTCCAGAAAAACTAGACGCAGAAAGGAAAATCTCTCAAAACTGAATGAGAGGAAAAGGGTGTGGAAGGTGACTTGTGTACTAACCTGAGAAACTCAGAAGGACACTGACAACAAAGTCATAAGGAAGAAACTAAAGACTGAGCTTCAAACTGAGGGTAGTTAATACCATAACTGACCCGAGAGTGGGTTACATGGCGAAAAGGAGAGCAGCAAAGGACTCTGTGAAAGACAAATTCTACCATCTTTCATCAAGTGGGCCAGGATTTGGACTAGAGGTCCTCAGTGGGATTACTTCCGCGCTTGCAGGCCAACACCTGGAGATGATCCTGGCTTAGTGGAGTCACACTTTGTGTGGCTCCTGCCCAGGGCCCCTGCTACCTAAGTGCCAAACAGCTCCCATAAATCAGCTTCCCCAACTGTCTCCTTTATAACCTTTCAAATGACTTAGTGACTGACAGAACGACTGAGCACACCTCCACTTGCAGGTTCCCGTCCAGCAGACACATCACATTTAAATAAGAAACAGTATAAGGCCCTGCCCAGCTCCTTTCTCTTCCCATGCTGGTCCATTAACCCCTCTCAATCAGGCACGAGGTATTGCTGCACAGGTGGCCTGGCCAGAGCCTCAAAGCCACCAGACTGGAGCCTGCTGGGCAAATGGTGAGAAGCAGCAAACAGCCAAGGTGCAGTCCCCAGCAGGGAGACACAGGCCCCAGAACCCAGAAGGAAGAGGGGTGGTCAAGGAAGATACAGCACAGAGCTCCTCATTCAGCCTGAAAGATGGCAATTACTATAAAGGGAGCATTTTCTCTTGCTGTTCCTGTCTTTAATTCAAGCTTGTGGGGAAGAGGGAGAAAGAGATTACTGAGGATCAGGACTGGAATAAAGAAGGGAGGAAACCGACTGTCAAGGCTCATGAACCCCCAAAATGTAAGAGAAAAGCATTTTTTCAAGAAAAGGGTCTCGACCCTTTCTCTTTACATTTCAGGATGAATTAATTTTCTTGCCATCTTTGATTTGAACATGAGCAATTAAACTGATGAATTTCAGGGTTGGTTACAAATCTGGCTGCAACTTCACTAGAGATGTCTTCCCTTATGCCTCTGTCCCCAAAACAATCCACCAGGCAACATACCCTCCTGTTGTATGCAGATCAGTCAAAATACAGTTCAAATGAAAAGTACTATAATAATGTGAAAACTGTATTAACTGTTGTATTACAATGCAGATCAGTCAAAATACAGTTCAAATGAAAAGTACTATAATAATGTGAAAACTGTATTATAATAATTCACAAAAGTTATTCCAAAGGGGAAAAAATAAATTATCTCATATAAAATAATACATGTTGCTTGTAAGTAATCTTGACTCCCGTCTTCAGAGAGCCTGTGGCCTGCCTGCTGCCAGCTATCTGTCCCCGCTGGGGGAGTAGATGTTGTCTGGAGGTAACTCTCCATCTGCACATTGGAGCTGGGTCCCTCCTCCAGGAGTTGGATCGGGAAGATTAAATGAGTCTGGAGTTTTGGAGGAACTGGATGAGGACTTGATAGACAAACTTGTACTGAGCAATGGTCTGGATCATGAACATCCTTTGCTCCCTGAGGAGCCTCAGCATCATTGGCACTTCCACCTTCTGCAAGAAAAGAGAAAAAGCACATGACCCTGAGCAAGGATGCTTCCCATGGCTCATTCATCACTCCCTCATTCAGGAGGCATTCACCCACTGCCCGTGTCCAGGCATTAGATAAAGCAAAGGACTCTGTCCCCACTTGGTTTTACCCATCAAATAGTCTGTACCAGCACCTGGAGAACCCAGTTGTCCTGTGTCACTGGTGTGATACTTTAAATACAGACCTGTCTGCTAGATAAAACATAAGAGGCTGGAGTTACAGCTGACTGATATTCTCAACTCTACCACAGCCCAGTGATAGGACTTAAGACACCTCTGGGTCTTAGTTTCCTCTTCTGTAAAATAAGGATATGAGGTCAGAACCTGACCTTTTGTAATTAGCTACAGCTGAGACAGACAGCCACATCCAGGGGACCAAGACAGTGTGCCACAAACCATAAAACTAGTGCTTTCTGAAAAACGTATGGGCATTAAAACATTTCAGCTATCACTCAGTGACCAAGAGTGCTGGGCCACAGGGTGACTTCTCAGGGCAGCCTGTCAGAGTTGTCCCCTAGGGTCCCCACCTCGCAGCCAGTGACATCACTGTAAGCATCTTAGTGACATCATGAGGCGGTATTTAATCTGATTTTTCAAACCGTTGATGCTATTGAGTAAATATGTGTATTATCATATAAATTCCTCCACAGAACTTCATGATAACATTTTATAATGTAAATACTACCAAACCACTGCAATAGTTTCCTTTGGTGTTCCAAGCTGTATAATTTGGAAATTGAACAAGAACCAAACGGCACTTGGTATTTGGAGGCAGAGTAAAACTGGGAAGTAACCCTGGACCAGGTCGAAGACCTTGCTTCTTGCCTGGGTACCACTGCGTAAGAGCCATATGGCACCAAACAAGTCACGCATAAAGCCCTTTAAAAACCCTACAGCCCCATGTAAACAGAAGTCAGAAGAATTGCTCTTTAGCCTTTGACTCCTGTTTATCTCATCTGCATGAAATAGAAAGTCTCTCAGTGTAACTCCCTAATCCTACGGCAGTAAAAGATCGCCACACACCTTGTGTGGGCACAAGCTCAGCAGCCCACCTCTACAGGGAGAAGAGTGAGGCAATCTGGCCACTGCAAAGACAGGTAACATGTGCCTGCTCAGAGTATCTACCCTGCTCTGCTACACCACACAACTGCCAGTCTAGACAAGAGCAAACAACCCACTCTAAATAAAAGCCTCTCTCTCTGAAGATTGAAAAACATTTTCCAAGTAGACATACTGTCAAATAGGATTTAGGCTAAAACACATTCTACAAATACAAGACGCATCTAAACTATATGCGACCCAATCACCCACCAAGGAAAATTACCCTCAATAAAACCAGACTGTCTACCAGATGCTGCAGGCTTCTGGAAGTAGATGCTAAGTTCAGATTTGCTAAACGTTTCCTTATCTCACACTCTCATTTCTTCTTCTATATCTGAGTATCTACACAGAGCAGTGAGAGGCCAAAGATACGGAGGGTTGTAAATGTTGGAGTCATACTAGAAATCATGGGTCTGGAAAACTCTGGTCAGGAGAGAGGACATGAACTGCTGAAAACAAAAGGGCATAGTCGAAAGTTTGGCTGTGGGGTATATTTGTCCCCAAAGTGGAGGAGTATACAGAAAGAAAATTATAGTGACTCACTTCGTTATGCTCCAGGCAGTAGATCATCAGCTCAGAAAGAATGACCACACCGGTCCTTCCCACCCCAGCACTGCAGTGCACCACGATGGGAGGGTGCCGGTTTTCAGTGCCTTCCAGCATGCTGTTGGTATGGCGACGGACTGACTGGATTTCCTCCAGGTAGGCTGTGGAACAAAAATGCAAATTTTGTCACCAAAGTCCTACATGGCTTGCATACAAGTGGTAGTGGTATGGGGATGCAGGGATACTGATGGTGAATCTTCTTTTTTTTTTTTTCTTAAGTGATAATTTACAGTTCTTACAAGACACTAATTATTTGGCTGTTACCGACTGATGGTGAATCTTCTTTTTTTTTTCTTAAGTGATAATTTACAGTTCTTACAAGACACTAATTATTTGGCTGTTACCCGCTGTACACTCCTGGATCCAGAAAGGACCAGCTGGGAGTCAATTAGACCATGAGAGAATTTGTTCTTTAAATTAAATAGTTCTTTTTTAAAAATTAAATTCTGTTCTCCCCTCTGCAAATCCCTAAGTCCCCCAAGCAGATGATTCCAGACATTACTTACAGCAATTCCTACTATTAACAGACTGGGATCAGAACAACAGCTAAGTCCCCTTGAAACGCCCGCCTGTCAGAGCCAATTTCTGGTGGGGAAAGACCATCCATCTGCCCTTCCTCCTTCCCCTCACTGAGTGAGTGAATGTCAGCTGAGGCTTGACATCATTTTAGATTTTGAAACAGACTTTGGGGAGTTTGCTTTTCAGCATGGATTCCATGGGGTTATGGGTGTAGCTCAAGATGACTCCCTTCTGCAGGCAACATGTGTGTGGGGTTCCAACATCTGTGTAGCTCAGCAGGCTACGCAGGGGTCTGTTCACGGCTCCAATTGGGCGCAAAAGAAAAATTACAGCTATACAAACCTTAATGACTTTTTTTCATAATCTTGAAAAAAGGGAAAAGTATATAAATATAATCCTCAGAGAGTCTGAAAATCAGCAAAAGTCAATTAGTGATTTAAATTCTGCGGCAGCTTAGGGGAGAAACAGATCGAAAGGTTCTTGATACTCAGAAAACCTCGTTCTAATGCAACAGTGTAAACAAGACTGTAGGGGAAATGCTCAAATTGTCAAAGCGAAAAGAGTACAGAGGACCCAGTCTAGTAATTTAAATGTATTTGTTTACAATTAATAGAACCTGTACTTTCCTTTACCACCTTATTTAATTATAAAATAAAGTAGTTTACCAAATAAAAAACTACCACTATTACCACTACCACTACTATTATGACAACTAGTAGTTATAGCAGTAGTAGTACTAGTCACAGTAGTACTACTAGCAGTAGTAGTAAAGTAAAATGAGATAGGACCAAAAGAAAAAAAAAAAGAAAGAAAGAAAGAAGACAGCTGGAGATGAATACAAAGAGTAGTTCCTATTGGGCACCAACTTGAGCTAAATACTGTGCGTGGAATTCTCTTTACAATTCTTCTGCGAGAGGTAAGAGATATTAGGCAACTGAGTATTTTGTCTGACAAAAAGCAGGGTTCACATACAAGAGACAAAGCTTTTCTCGAGCTAAACTTAAGAAGAAAAATAAGAAAAATGCTGTGGAATACAACAGATAGATGCCACTTTCAAATGGACATTTTCATAAAACGCAGAGAAACTGGATTCGAATGGATGCTTCCTCTGTCAATGATATGCATAAAGTTCCTCAAGCTGTAACTCAATGAAGACTTCTGGAGGGTGGGAGACAACTTGGCTTAGATACTCTGCATCCAGGTAATCTAATTTAAACACGGGCAAAAATCTTGAAAACCTAGAAGAAATGGACAGCCAACATTTCTAAGGCCCTACACAGCACATTTGCTTTGAGTTTTTTAGAAATTTAACTTAATACATTTACATTCTTTAAAAATATTCTCTACATGTTTAAGTAATTTAGATTGGCTTTCCTTAAATTGGTTCTGATTAAAAAGATTTGACTGTACATTTAACCACCTCATAAGCTCGATCTTTCATCAGAGCAGTTAGCCAATCATCAAAACAATCCACTTTTATTGTTTGCATTTTCTGCCTCTTGAAAAAAAAATTTAATAAGTCAATTACCAAAAGATTACCTGAAAGGAATAAAAAGAGCACTTTTAGGAGGAAGAAAGTTCTGCAAAGGTCGCTGCCCTACTTATTCACGTGAGCATCAGATAACTGGCCGTTTGACCTGAGGCACATCACTGAACCAGTCTAGTCTTGCTCTAGATCCTTTGATTCCAATCATCTTTCCACTCTCTACTTTCAGTGTCCAACCCTCAATGCCCTTTACTGGGAAATGAAATACTTGTGCTGATGAATAAGCATGCATCAGAATCTTTCTGGTGGAACTTGTAAAGTGGTATGTTTAGGTCTTCAGGGCCTACTTTCTCTTCTCTTTCCTCTCCCCGCTCCTCCCACCCCATCTCACATTTCAGATGAATATCAAAATAAAATCAAGGTTCTGACATTATCCAACATCTGGATGAAGGTCACAGGTCTGCCGCTAGCTGGAGAGTTGACAACGTGACAGGTATAAATCTGCAGAGAGCACCAGGGCCTCCTTCCCCGATGGATAAGTGACAGAAGGGGCTTTCCCACAACTGCAGGACATTCAAGGTTAGCACGTGGCAAGGGAGGAGAAGACTGCAGCCACCACTGAAAAGCAGATGACAGCATCGGATCTCACCCCTGCACTGTGACGAATGGCCTATCTTTCCTGTTAGACTGTGAACACTTTTAAGACAAAGTCTGTGAACTCAATTTCATCTTTGTGTTCCCAGAGCCTGATCCAGTGCCCAGAATGTAGTGGGCACACACTCAATTTTTAGCCTTTCAAATAAATTACTGTGTATAATCTGGTGAATTAGTTTTTAAAATAACCATACCCAGAACTGTATATATATACATAAATTAATGATTTAGTCTTTTGAGCACATTTCAGTTTCAAAAACTACAAGTTGATTCTTAGTATTTTAATCATAGATATAAGAATTTACTGTTAGAGAAATACAGGGCTTGAGAGATGCAAACCTTTAGTTATCTGTGCTTTTTATTGTGATAAAATAGATACAAAATAAAATATAACATTTTAACAACTTTTAAATATGCAGTTCAGTGGCATTAAGTATATTCAGTGCTATGTAACCATCACTGCTATCCATTTCCAGAACTTTTTCATAGTCCCACACAGAAACATCACATCCATTAGACAGTAATTCCCCATTCCCCCAGCCCCTGGCAACCTCTATTATACTTTCTGTCTCTATGAATCTGCCTCTTCTAGGTATCTCTATGTGGAATCATACAATATTTTTCCTTTTGTGTCTGGCTTATTTCACTTAGCATAATAATGTTTTGGAGGTTCATCTATGTTGTAGCATGTGTCAGAACAGTTATTTATTAAATGAGCAGCTAAAGGTCTAAATCTAGGTAGAACTAGTTAGTTTACCACAATTTTATCTTATTTGCATAAAAGGTAAACAGAATATAAAAAGTAACGTATTGTTATTCTTCTCCATTCTACAATGTAATGAAGGGACATATACATCAACACTGAAATACTTTTGCCAGGTAAGAGAAAGCATCCTTTCTCTCCATTTCCTCTCTAATCGATAGATCGCTGAGGAAGTTGGCAAAACCCAGTCTGGTAAAACACAGACTGGGAAGAAAAATACTTACACAAAAATCCTTGGACGTCTTCTGGGCAGCCGTGATCTGGCCAGTCGGTATACTGCAAATGCCACACTGTCCTTTCCTGACCAGACAAAAGATGCTTGACCTTCAAGCCTGTGGTTGCATAGCAACCAGAATCTGTTCGGAACTTGGTGGTGACCTTGAACTTGCCATAGGTGGCCGAGCTGTGTTTGGAACCCAGTTTGGGCCAATATCGGTGGCTTTTGGTTCGTCCACCCTCCTGAATCACACACAAAAAGCAAAAGTGGGAATAAGTCAGGGGAAGCTCTCATCTTCATAATCTTAAAATCTGAAGACAGAAGAAAACGTAAATAGCTCCTAAGTAACACAGTAGCACACAGTAGATCCTATACATTTTAGCTAAGACCAGTAATAAGATTCATAATGATAGTTATATCAATGGCAAATTTAAATCATTCACAATTGAGGTGTGGTTGGATGTCAGAAGAGGAAGTGCAAAGTTCAGAGGCACAAACAAGTTTGGTGTGTTTAAGAAACAACGGTTTTCAGGAAGGTGGCTGGACTGTGGCAAGTTGGGGGAAAGGTGGCAGGACAGGAGGCTGGAAAGGCCACGGCACAGAGTTTGGATTTTACTCCATGGATAATGGGAAACCATCCAAAGGCTTTAAGCAGGGGAGCTGATTAAAGCTGCTCATTCCAGGCTATCCTTCTCATTTCTGATGCTCAGCCCAGGGCTCTTCCTACCATGCCACGCTGACTACTGACTCTGTCTCTATCACCGAGCATCGATTTTTGCAGCCTGACCAATTTGTTTTAGTCCCACCTACCACTTACAGAGAACAGCTGCTTACATCACCATTCTTCCTCCCTTAATTTTACAATCTCTTCTGAGGATGTGCATTCTCAACCATTTACAAAAGGCCTATTTTTAAGTTTTGCACAGTTTTGAAATCATTGGAGCGGGGGTGGAGAGCATGGAGAGAATAGAAGCTGAGGAGATCCGGGGCAGGGGGAGAGAGAGAAGGAACACAGAGCCTGCAGAGCTGGGGTGTGGGCATGGGCCCTGGGAACCCTTACGGCTAGCCCACTCGCAAAACAATGCGTCTTTGGTGAATATAAATGATCTTGCCCAGATTCATCTGGTTTCATTTTGTCTCCTTAAGTTTGAAGCACACTTTCCTCTTTTATTTATCAGCCTTGTGAAAGTAGGTTCACCTGAGGCCTTGAATGCATATTCCTGCTGAATGTCTCAGTTATGGATTTTCAAAGACTGGGAGTCCCTGGCTGTCCCACAGATCACTAGACTCTGCTGTGTCTTAACAAGGTTTACCCCTTCTTTCACTCAGGTCTCGTCTCAAATGCTGTGGCTGCCCACCTAATCGAAAGGAGCCCCCAGTCTCTCTCCCATTACCTTGTTCCATTTTCTCCGTGGCACTTACTACGATCTGAACTTACTTTGTTCACTTTTGACTGCCCCTCCCACTAGGACGTAAGCTGCATGGGGACAGGGAAGGTGCCTGTCTCATTTATCACCATGCCCCTGGGTTAGCCCTGATGGTACCTTGTGCTTAGTTGAATGAATCCCTTGCAGTGATGTGATTCCGTTAAGTGATAAATCTATTCTAGAGACTTGAAGGAGAATTCATTCTCTTTGAAAGAAGGTCAAATGGAATGTCAGCCCTGAACTGCAACCACATTTAAAGGGCTTGAATTCCCTTTTACCACTATCTTCCAATGGACTGTTCTAGAAAGCAACTGCTCAGACCAGTTGATGAAGGGATATGACTTTTTTTTTCCAGTTCTCTCTGTTCCTGATCCCTTTACAATAGTTAGAAAAGGGGTGCTGCAGTATTGTGGATATTGGTTAAAACATATAAAGCTCGCTCACCCCTTCAGCGGCTTCAAAACATATGTTCGAATTCAATGAAAGGAACAAAAGAAGGTGGTTAAAAAATTTTGAGCATTCAACAAGAGAAGAAACACAGCACTTCTTCACCAAAGACAGCAAGCCTAAAGCCTGCTGAACTGAGTGGGAGTTGTGTGCAGTTTTTATAACGCCACACAGAGTTCTCTAATTACAGCACAAAAACTGTGTTTGACTTGGCAAAGAAAGAGAAAGATATTTTTTTCTCTCTCTCTCCAAAGAATAGAGACCTCTTTCTCTCCAGGAACAGCAGCTTCTGGTCTCTTTTCAGCTGATAAGCAGGAGGGCTTGTGGAACCGGCTGTGCCCAGGTCTGGCAGGACACATCCATTTACCCAGAGCAGCCTGAGAGGTTCTCAAATTCCGGTGGAAAGATCTCTGCTTTCTTTGGCACACAAAGTCAGCTGGTTCAACTAAAGTCTGGTCATTTTTGGTGCTGTGTTGTTTTGCTTTCATTTCAGTGCATGGCAACCCAAGGAAAAAGAGTTCCAAGCCAGATGCAAATGGAAGGAGAAAAAGCCACAATAATAAATTATCTCTGGGGAAAAGCAAATGTATGTGGAAGTAAGGAGAACAGACATATACCAAACAGAAAAGGATTTGCAGAGAAACAG